CATCCAGAAATGCTCTACATCCTTATTCACATCATAAATAAAATTGTAAATTATTTGCCAGATGATTGCTTGGTTTTATATTCAGTTGTGTACTATATAAACTCTGTACTACTGTACTTGCATTATCATTCATATCTTTATGATCTGACCTCTTACTTTGCTAAAGAAGTGAAATGACATAAAACTTTAGAACTAAATTAATTTTATCAAAGATGTCTGGATACATTCCTTTATCTTCTAATTTTATACTGTACACCAGATCTTGTTCCCACCCATCAACTCCAGCACACGCATATGACAATATTACAATGATTGGCTTGTTCAGTAACCCTAAACCACTGTTTAGCATTACAAGAATCTGTCTAGACAAGCGATGGGCTCATGTGCTTCCATCCCTCCCCCGGTTTGTCTTTGTGGAGGAGTGCAGAAGTTTCATCTGAACTCATTTCAAATTATTTGTTAGATAAAACATACTTAAAGCCATAGTATATGAAACTGGCTTATTGCATTAAATAATAGTTTAGAAGTTATTCTTCTTAAAGAAAAGCAGATGATTTGAACACTGCAGCCACAGGGAAGAAGGAAGAGAGAAGTCAAAAATTCATTGGGCCTCATTTCTTCTGCATTTCCATGCTTCACTTGGGTGCTTGGCAGAAACAATACCAGCATTAAATTTGCTGTCCCCATGGTCAGCCCCTATCCTCCTCTATTGCCTCTGTTCCCAGTTATTGGTGATCATCTGACTTCCCTCCATGGTAATGGATGACAAACCCAAACAGATTTTTTACATTCTGAGGTTGCCCTTAGTTGGTTTTGAAATAATTTTATGTGTGTGTGTGTGTGCCCGTGTGCATTTGAGTCCGTTTTTGACTCCTGGCAACTGCCTGGACAAGTCCCTGAAGTTTTCTTGGCAAGATTTTTGGAAGTGGCTTGCCATTGCCTGCTTCGTAGGGCTGAGAGAGAGTGACTGGCCTCTGGTTTCTCTTTTTTATTAAGCTAAGAACAACTTTGGACTATCTTACTTACAGGCTGGATATGAGATGAAGGGAGTGTTTTGGAGACCCACAGAAGAAAAAGGGTTAATAGGGCATGTTTGTGCCATGGCTATAGTCACAATTGGTTTTAACAATGGTTTGTTTAATCTGGAAGCGAGCCAGAATCAGTTTTGCAAGTGAGCAAAGTCATAATGGCTTATTTGGCCAATGGCCTTTTTCCCCCCTCATATTTAGTTACTCTTACCATGTGTCTCTATGGATTCATAAAAGTTTGGGAAGGGCAACCCCTCCTCCAAATACCAGAATGTATGCAGTGACTGCAAATAAATTTTGTGCTCCCCTTCACCCTCATTGCAGATGACTACAGAGGAGATCAAAAAGTGAAGATGGGGGCCATGTCCACACAGTCAGAGCCCCGTGTCTTTTTTGTGTGTGTTGTGGATGTGACACATGTAAAAAAGGCACAGGGCTTCAATTGTGCAGTTGCAGCCACCATCTTGACTTTTTTGACGCCCCCAAGATGCCCCTTACTTCATGCTAAGCCATCATTACAGCTCATAAGCCAACAGTAAATGACAGCTTCAAACTGACCTACTACCCTGAACCAAGCCATGAATTCACATACTTAGCTTACACATCCCATTAAATGAAAAACAAGTTATAGTATATTCCAAAACACTGTAATAAATCACTAGGATAATTCTTTTTACTATCTAAATTGTGTCTCAGGAGAAAAAGACACTTTAAATGAGAAATTTCTTAAGTGATTAAGTTGTGATACAACATCCCTGCCTCTCTCCTCTCTGATTCAATATGTCTTTAATTACCAGCATAGTTTTATTGTCAACTTGTGGCCTTCCTCTTGTCACTGGCCAAACAGATGGAGTAAGGCTTCATAATGAGGACAGTTACAATATTTTTTCCAATATTAATACTTATATCAGGCCTTTAAGGAGCATGAAGGAAATTGGAACCTATTTCTCCCATTCTGGAGCAGAAGCAGAACTCAGTTGGTCACTTACTAATTTCAACATGGATATATGATCTGTGTGTGGAGGAAGTCTCTCATTTGCCCAGTATCCTTTCAAAGCCAAACCTGGATGTTTAACCAGCTTCTGGGTATAGTGGTGCCATCCAGCCCACCTCCACCCACCCCTGATTTAATGGCACACATGTCTTCTTTAAAAAACAAACCTAGCCCTTTCTCTCCCTCCCATAGAGGCCCAATGGAGAAATGAAGATCAAGAGAACAATTACAGCACACCTAAACTCAGTTCAGTTTTCCAGTGGAAAGTAAGGAAGAATTTGACTTCCTATTGTTTGTTAGATAGATCCAACAAACCATCAAAGAATATGGCAAAACCTTTCACAATTATTGTGTTGTGTGATCCAGGATCAAAAGCAACATGGCAACCTCTCTGGATTTTTTCTGATCCAGGGAGATAATAAGGTCTGGTCTATGGACATAACAGAGCATGGTCTGTAGCATGGGGGGGAAAAAACAGTATAAAAAGTCAGATCAATTTTGTTTTTTTGTTTTTTAATGTACTGTATATCATGTTGTTTCACCAAATGGTACTTAGAATAGCTAGCAATAGTGACACCAATATAATCTAACACATAAAATGAAAGCTATCAATTTCAATAAAAACAACTGGGAAACCAGCTGCAGCATATATGCACATCAGCCTATATGGTTCATCTCTTTGCCTCTTCCTGGAAAATCTTCAAACTGGCATACAAAGAATTCCAGATTCGGGGTACAGCCATCGAGAAGGCCCTTTCTTGAGTTCCCATTCAAAGTGCTTCAGAAAGGAGGACCTCTCCTAAGATCTTAAAACCAGGTAAGTTCATATTAGCATTTCTCAACCTCAGCAGCTTTAAAATGTGTGGTCTTCACCTCCCAGAATTCCCCAGTTGGCTAGGGAATTCTGGGAGCTGAAATCCACACATCTTAAATTTGCTGAGGTTGAGAAACACTGGTTCATATGGAAGAAAGAATGCTGACTTTCAAGGTAACCTGGCCATAAATCATGTAGGGCTTCCATTCTGATAAGCATCATTTTTTAAATTAGTTAATATGTTTCAGTGAAAGCACCACAAGGAAGAAGAACTGACAAAGCACTGGCTTTCCTTATACTTAAAATTACTACAAAGTCAAATTTGATAGCCCACATGGCATCGGGATGTCATTGTATAGTCTGTAAGATCCCTAATTGGCTAGGATCATAGCAAAAATCCTCAGTAAAAAAGGGCATTGAAACAGCAGCAAAGAAAGTTGCACTTGTTGGAAAGTATAGGGAGAAAGTTAACCTTGGAAATTTCAGGGTTATCACATCACTCAGAAATGTTAAGCCTCCTCTCTATCTCAAAATGTCCTCAATTAAAAGTCTGGAACAGCTCTAATCAAGATGCAAAAAGTCAGGTTTCTGTTTTTTATTTTTCAGAAAACCACAGCTACAAAATTTGTTTTTAACAAGTACAGTGCTATTACTGAGAAAAAGCCTTAACATGTGTGGTGAATTTCTGCTGTGGTAAATTGCCTGTGCCAAAGTGGTACTTTCCAGAGTCCACACTAGATTATGCCAACAGGCACTACATCACTCTTGTAGTTGTAAAAGTATCTTAATCATCTTGGTCATAAGCTAAAGAAGTCCAGATGTTTTAGGTCAGAGCTGCCAAATACAAGACCTGCAGTTCTCTAGGACAGTGTTTTTCAACCTTGACAACTTTAAGAGGTATGGACTTCAACTCCCCAAATTCCCCAAGCAGTATGATGACTGGGGAATTCTGGGTGTTGAAGTCCACACATCTTAAATTTGCTAAGATTGAAAAACGCTGCTCTAGGATACTCTGCACAATTTTCAGGCCCCTTCATTGCTAAGAAGCGACATCCTTTGAAGGTTAAAAGGGAGCATCTCTATGTCCCATTCCCTATTCATTTAGCTGCTCAGATTTCCTGAAGAATAGAGACTGTGAAATTCAAAATTGCCTGCACTTGGAAATTAGTTTCACTTATTTTAGGAATTAGCCCATGAACTTTGGGTGACACATTCCAGCCATCCAAACTGGCAACCAGATTTACACATGTGGCTAAACTATGGTTTGCCTAACCCCATTATGGCTTAGGATGCCAAGGAAACCCAGCAAGTGAACTGAAATATGAAAGCTGATGATTGGGGTGGGGGAAAGTTCCTAGTGACTGAGAATTTGGCTACACCTTGCTTGACTTCCCTTTGCTCCCAGTTCCTTGAAAAAGAGATGGTTTACAAACAGTTAAGATGGAATGGTCAAAACTGGATGCATATTCCATATCCACCAGCAGCACTAAAAATGGCTTCATAATACTTTTAGCTTCTTTTCAGACTTTGTAGAGCAGTGTTTCTCAATTAATTTTAATGAGTAAAAATTCAAACCTGGTATGGAAGAAGCAAATATTGAACTAGACGAACTAACGGTTATGCTGGACTACAAGTGCCATCTGCCTCAGCAGGCATGTGGGAAGGCTGGTCTAGATTTAGGGCTGAGAATAGAGGATCCCATAGTACATTCATCTACCACTTTCATTACTGCTCCAAAATGATCCTATGCTAAGTTATGCTTGGGGACAAGGTTCTGATGTGTCTGCCCATAACTTTAATGTCAGAGCTGTTCCACATGTTGCTCAGCCTGGTTTTGGATTATATCACCATCATGTATGTTCAGTTAGAAGCCACGTTTTGTCCTGTTTCCAAACTGTACAAAAATGCATTTAAAAATATGACTTTCCTCCCCAAACATACTCTGTATTTTGAGTGGTATTTTTCTGAGATGAGAACAGTACTGGAAATTTGAGGAAGTGGTGGTTATTTAACCTTTAATCAGCAGTTGGTTCAAGTGATGCAATTCAAGAATGTTCATATGAGAATTTGCATAAATAAGCATTCTTGGTCTACATATCATGGATGCTCCTTTGACCCTTGATATAATCTTATTTGCATCTCAGAGTTGTGCCCTGGGACTTACCATCATCACAGAGGTTCAGCTTTGAGAGGTTCTTTCCATCAAATGGCTCTTCAAGGATGGATCCATTCTCTCTTTCACCCAAAGTGTGCAGATACATGGCTTTATTCTCCATCCTGTGCAGGGCATGTAGAAGAACATTGAGAAACTGGTGAAGAACAGTACTTTGCAGGCATGCACTGAACATTTTGAGATGTTACTGCAGGATATCAAAGCTTTATCAATCCAGATTTCAACATTCATTCTAACTTGCTTGCTAAATGTGGGAGGTAGGGGGAGGAATTAGTAGACCTAAAGAAGCACGAAGAGGGCAACCAAACCAATCTGAACTCTCTGTATTCAAATGCTTTCTATACAAGAAAAGCTTGGGACTCTCAAGTTTAGGAAAAAGTCTAACAAGGGCAGAATATGATTGAGATATATAAACTCATACAAGGTATGGAAAAAGTGGATAGGGAGAATTATTTCTCCCTCTCAAACATTAGGATTAAGTGGCATCCAGTGAAGCTAACTGGAAAGAGATTTAGAACAGATCCATAAAGTAATTAACTCATGGGATTCACTGTCAAAGAATGTGGTGATGAGTTGATGGCCACTAACTTGGGTGGTTTTAAAAGGGGATTTTAAGGACCTATTCTCCAAGATAAATTCTTGGAGAATAGGTCTAATAAAGTCTAATAAAGGCTGTCTTGAAAGCTCCATGTTACCCTTGGGTAGAAGGGGGTAGCATTCTTTCAAATACCATTTGCTATATATCTCCATCTGCTGCTTGAAAGTACCCCAGAAGTATCAAGACACAATGAGAGACAACATGTTGGACTAAGATGAGTTTTGGTCTGATCCAGCTGGGCTATTCCTAAATTTTAATGTTTTGTAGCTTTCAACTTAATGACATTTACTGCTGTGGAGCCTACCAGATTTGATCTGGATCCCCCACTTGGGATCAGAAGTTCAGTGAATATTTGCAGCTGCTCTGGAGCATAAGAAAAGTTTTGGCATCCAAAAGAAGATCTATAATCAGTGCTGATGGACATTTGGCACAGATATTATACTACTGCATGACTGACTGGCTGATATATAACTACTAATACATATCAGACCATACAGAAGTACATAACAAAATAGGGAAGGTCTCTGCACTCTACAGTTTATATTGAGTGAAAACCCAAGGAATAGAGAAAAGGATAAAGGAAGGAAGAGAGCAGAATAGGAGTATCAGCAGTTGAATAGGAAGGCCTCCGATATTCATTTAAAGTGCTTGCTGGATTTGCAAGTTTGAAATACCCAGTTTTGTTTCCAAAACAGTTTAGGAAAACTCTGGGCCCCTTTACACACAACACAAGACTCCTGTAATCCTACAGCATTGTTGGGCTTCCATAGGTCTTCTGCAGCTAGGCTGATTAACTTCTGGCTGAGGTGTGATGCTCAGAACTCCACTCCAAGAACAGTTGTGTGGCATGGGGCAGGTGGTTTCCCACTGGGGGTTTTGCCTTCTCCTCCCTCCTTTGGCCATTCTCTAGGAGGTTGATTCACTTTCCAAACTGCTGAGGTAAAGCTAAGGGTTGGATACCAAATTCTGCATTCCCTTATTAGTCACTTAAGATGATGTGTCAAAATGACTGAGTGTTTGAGGGGCAAAAATGGTAGCTGCATGAAAATGCCCTTATTTTTCCATTCAGCTTCAGTTTATCTGTACTTTCCCACTCTACCCTACTCTGCTAATGCTTATTTGTACATTCAACAAACTTTAGGTGATGCAAGTACACCTTACGTTCAGCAATAAACTTTTCAAGGGTTCTGGTGCTTACCAGAGTTCAGTTTGCTTAGGAAGAAGTAACTCAAGATTCATACTTTCAATGAATTATTTATTTACACACATATATAAGCTCAGTATAAGATGAAGGTTTGCTCTCCTGTTTCTACCAGTTCCCACGACCCCATAAGATTTCCTACAGAGTTAAAAGACAGCTGTCTCTCCTTTCCTGACCTAATTCCTGCATAACTTTCTACTAAATATGCAGACTTTCCCTTCCTCCATGCCACTGACTAGCAAGGGAAAATGTAATTATTATCTTCATCCTCATCATTCCCCCTTTCTCCTCCTCTTCTCTTTCTTTGATTAATGGCCTATGCTTTTTTTAAGGCAGTTATAATACAGTTCCAGCTGTCAGATTGCTCCCATTGTCAGATTGTAGGAGGCATTACTGCAAGACACCCAAACAGATAGGTCTGTTCAACTCAATATTTAACTTTACTCATTTTTCAAAACCTCACATCAACCTTCCTGACTTTGTCCCCACCAGATGTTCCATCATTCCCCATTATTAACAGGCTGGCTGAGAATCATGGGACTTGAAATCTAACACATCTGGAAGGCACGAGGTTGGAGAAATTCCCAAGAAAGACTTCTGCAAGCTAATTTTGATCAAACTCAAATTCAATTTACAATTTACTACCAAAACAAAAAAGCAACCTTGTTTGCAGTCTGTTTATAAACAATTGTATCAACATTCTTTGTGTGTTATGTTTTATTATATTGCAAGAGTGCACTGAGTGCCGTGGGTAACAAAACAGCACAGACGAAACCTTCTTGACGTAGTCAGAGAAACCATCAACTCCAGACAGCCTTCTCCAAAGGGCCTTATCGACGCACACTGGCTCACTGCGTGGTTAACTCAGCTGAGCTGTGTTTCACAACAGATGAAATGTTTAGAGGGTGGGAGATGCTGAGCACTGCCAAACCTAACATCAAACCAGCTGGATAAGTCTGAGATCAGCTCAAAGAGGTCAGCTTCTCCTAAACTCTGGGGATGAGGGCAGAGGGAGGAACCCCTTCTGCAAGACTGGAGTTGAAAATATGAAAGGTCGGCCATACCACAATTTTTTTTTAAAAAAAGGGGGGGCTGAATAAAAAATTGGTCACTACTCCAAAGGGTTTGCAGTTTCAGTTTTGATCACAGAAGCCTATTACAGGGGAGGGAGGCAAGCAAGAAAATGGTGCTACGAAGTCATTTAGACAGGGGAAGTAATTGGTTTACCAGAGACACCAAGAACCATTCATGTTCTAAGGCTCATAAATAATAGATCATTTTGCTTCCCCAACTTGCACCCACTTGCAATAGTCCAGGAACTCACCCTTTCAATCTTTCCCACCACTACAACCCTATGAGGTAGGTTGGAATGGGAGATGATGCCCCAAAATCATCCAGTTAGCTTCTGTGGCTGAGGGTAGACTTAAACCTGGTCCTCCCCACTCCTAATTCCACATCTTAAGCATTATATTAGGGGCTATGTGGCCCTGGAGAATCAGGGTGGCCTCTACTCCATCCACCTCCCCATTTTAAGTTCACAGAAGTTCTAATTATATATTTGAGATTTATCTTTGGCCTCAGTCCAGATGGATTCCAGGCAGTGGACCAATATTAATAATAGAAATAATACAAGAACAGTAAAGAGTACAATTTAACAAAATACTGGTGCCAATGCCTCCACCACAGCTGCCTCTGAGTTATAATTAGGCATGGACCTGCTAAGCACCAGCAATACCTGTAATGTGTTTTTTCCAGCCTGGTTGTAAAGTGCCCAGAGTGACTGATGAGTGGGCAGCCTTAACATCAAATGAACGAATGAACGAACGAATGAATGAACAAATGAATGAATGAACAAATGAATGAATGAATGAAAACTATCGCAAAATGCCATCCAGAATAACCAGGGTTTTTTTTTTTTACCTTCTTCCAGAATGCCTTAAAATTGGAGGTTATTCTTTCCCTGGGGGGGGGGCAGGCTGTTCTATAGGAGGGGAGCCCTCACAGACAACGCCCATCCATTGTCCAGTATTGTAACTGGGGGCTCTTAGCAAGGGCCCTCTGCTTTGCTTCAACTGCCTTAATGCTAAGTATATTTAAATGGAAATAAGTACTGTTTTGTTATAAAACAGAGTAATATATCTTATAGGTAAATAATAAATAAATATCTATCATAGAATAGGCTCATATAGCCCTGAATGGTTCCTGAAGGCCATCAAGTCCAACCCCCTCTCTGAGTGGGAATCCAAATTTTTCCTCCTGTGACATCAGAAATAATCAGGAAAGAAATGAACTGAATACCCAGGCAGTATTCAAAACTCCCTTTATAAATCTCAGTTTTAATTACCATATTTATCGGTGTATAACATGCACAGGTATATAACACGCACCTTAATTTTAAGAGGGAAGTTTGAGTAAAAAAACTTAAATTTAAAATAAATGACTTCTTAATTTTAAGAGGGAAGTTTGAGTAAAAAAACTTAAATTTAAAATAAATGACTTCTTAATTTTAAGAGGGAAGTTTGAGTAAAAAAACTTAAATTTAAAATAAATGACTTGGAAGCAAAATAAAGGGATCTCTGAACTTTTTGTTTATTAATATTTATACCATTTATAAGGTAAATACATAATATGAAAGAAAAAGCATCTCTTTGAATGAAGAAAATCTCCCCATCGCTCGCACCTGAGCTCCGCAGAGCAGGAGGTGAGCGGCAGGCGAGTGAGCGAAAACCGGCACTCCTCTGCGGAGCTCAGGGGAGCGCTGGTTTTCGCTCACTCGCACGCTGCTCACACTCTGCTCTACAGAGCTCAGGGGAGCGCTGGTTTTCACTCGCTCGCACGCCACTCACGCTCTGCTCTGCGGAGCTGCCCCGGTTACAGTCCTGGTTCAAATGAAGTCTCCACTCTCCCAACCTTGCCGCTTGAGTAACACGCAGCTAGGATTTCAGCCCCAAATTTTAGGGGGAAAAGTGTGTGTTATACACCGATAAATACGGTAAGTAATTATCATAACAGTTACTGGACATAGGTTTTGAGGTACACTATCAAACTCTTTTAAAGACATGCCTTCCTGTGGTTTCCACAGTACTTACCTTTAGAACATCTTGAAGCCCCCCTGCCCAAAAAAGTATTTTCTCTCTTTTTCCTAAAACGATTTCTATCACAGACTAAAAGAGGCAAAAATAGGAGCCTAGTATGAATCCTGCAAATATTAAATGCTTGGCAGGCCTAGTT